GCCTCCTGATGAGTCGGTGAAACTCCGACGAAACAGTTTGTCACAGCCCCTCGTTTGTTGTCCTCTTCTCTCTCTCTGCCTACGGTTTACCGGGCAGTTCTATTTGTATATATATATATCGTATATATATATATATATTTGTGACGATATATATATATATATATATATATATATATATATATATATTTTAAAAGCAACCAGCCAAAATAAGCGTTTTTGTCTGTTGTTTTGTAGGTTATTCGAATTTTTTTTTTGTAATGTCATCACGCTGTGGGGCTTGTGGCGACTGTAGCGGGTGAGCAGCCCCCACCCCCCCCCCCCCCCCCCCCCCCCCCCCCCCCCCCACACACACACACACAAAAAAAAAACAAAAAAAAAAAACACCGCGCTTTCGTGTTCTGGCCGTTCACACGTGTTGTTGTCACTGATACCTTGAGTAGGTCAGCAGATTTCTTTGCTGCTATAGTTACCTACCTTCATGCTGACACAGATCTGCAAAAAACAATTAGAACCTCTTACGCTGATGATCCAGTCTATAGTATGTTGATTGACAAGGTGCGGACAGCACTGCACGAAGTTCCGACTCTAGGGTGACCCAGGGATTATTATTTGAGTAAACTGACGTGCACAACAGACTGTGCATCCCGAATAATGAAGAAGTTTGCAACTAATCTTAGGGGAATGTCACGACACAGAGGGACATTTCGGTTGAAGAAAGACATATGCCAATCTCCTTTGATCATATGCGTGGGTTGGAATGAAACATGACTGCATAGCCTACGTTCAAGGCTGCAAGGTGTGTCAAAGGAACAAGAGTTCCACGCAGCCTGCCCTTCGACTGTTGAAACCTCTACCTATCCCATCAGATCCCGGAGACTCCGTGTCTATAGAATTTATGGATACTAAACGTCACGTGATGGTGATTGTAGATAGATTTAGTAAATTTGTTGTTTTGGTACCACTCCCTGCAGAGCCGAGGACAGACCTAGTGATTAGGGAGTTCTTCAATCATTTGGTTAAGGACTAAAGACACCCCTTGACTATTGTGAGTGATAGGGACACAAGGTTTACAGGCGAGCACTGACAACAACTGATGAATGTCTACGGTTGTAAGTTGAATATGTCATCAGCTAGGCATCCCCAGACTAACGTCCAAACAGAGCAAATTAATGAACTTCTTCAGCGAGTGCTGCGGATGTACATTAGGCCCGATCAGATTGACTGGGACGAGCACCTAACCAAGGTAGCTAGTACTTCTAATAACTCTGTGCACCTAGCTACAACAGAAACGCCTAACGAGATGCATAGGGGATGGTGTCCACGACAACCTATTGGCTGTCTAAATCCCAATCAGATACAAAGACTGCAGCCAGGCACAAGGGAATTCGTTGTGCAATATGAGAAAGACCTGGAAGGAGTAAGGGAGAATATCAGGAAAGCCCAACATCAAATGATTGAGCAAGCAAACAGGCAGTGCAGACCTTCACCGTTCGCTGTAGGTGATTTTTTTTAATTTTTTTTTAAAAAGGGGGCCCAGTGCCCAAGGCTGATATTGATATTGAGAAAATTGAGGCGGGGGTCCTCACAGTCTACCCGGAGTAGCCAGACAGAACATGCTGGAAACCGGGCCCAGCGTCCGGGTCAAGTCAAAAGAGTTTATCCTAGAAGAAAACATATCGCAAAAGTTGTTACCTGCATATAGAGGACCAGGACAAATTCTCGATGTCGTAGGTGATGTAGATGGTCCTTCCTATGTTGTTGAAATTCCACCTCATCTACATACCTATCCGGTGTTTCATGCCTGTAAGTTGCTTCTCTGTGTCAGTAATGATCAGTTATCATCAAGGAGATCTATGGTCCCTCCTGATATGGATGGCAACTATGATGTAGACAGGATCGTTGCAGAAGATGTCTACGGATCAGGACACAGAGGGAGGCCCCAGCGGCAGCACAAAGTCAGATTTGCTTACCAAGAGCCTACGGAAGATTGCTGGTTCAATAGAAATGAGTTAATTGAGACAGCCCCGCGTATAGTTTCCTATTATGAAAGGGCTCGTAGAGATGTCAACATAGAAGATAGGTTAAGTTTTTAACTTTCTCAGACGACCTCGAAATCAGGCCGACAAGAGTGAAAGGCATTTGCACGTTGCAGACCCCTAATGCGAGTCCCAGGGTCCAAAGTCAAAAGAGCCCAGGAAGGCTAAAACAGAAAAGGTATCGAGTCGGGTACCCCTCAGGCCACACAGGTCAAAATTCAACTGTACCCAGCCTCAAAGTCCAGTCCCACAGTCAAAATGCATCAGTGCTCCAAGGAAAAGTCTGGAAGGTACCGGGACTCAATATTCCAAAAGCAAACAGGCCGCGGGCGACTGGTATCAGTCAAAGTCAGGCCCATAACAAATCAAGAAAAGGCCAAGTGAGGTCAGGCCCAGTCCAAGTCCGTAAGAAGACTGGCCCAGCCTCACTCGGACAGATTGCTCATTCACAAGAAGGTGGAAGCGCTATTGTGAGTGACTGTGCGCTAAGGAGCCTTGCTGGGTGCTGTGGAAGACAGGTGGCCATAGCCGCACAATAGTAGTAGCAGTAGAGCATCACAAGCGGTTAACAGGGACCCCCACTTTTCAGCCTTGGTTAACCCCTTCAACCCTGAAAAGTGCATTGGAGATCATTTTGCAATGAACCCAGGCGAGATAACACTCATTGAACATCCAGATACTGGTCGCAGCAACGCACGAGCATCAGCGCTCGTGCAGCAATAGTCCAATGGCTCAATGACAAAGCAACTCGAGTAATCCAGTCTTGTTGATGAATAATGTCGAACAGATCTGTTCCACTATCCGAGTATATACAAACATAGAAGAGAGAGAGAGAGAGAGAGAGAGGGGGAGAAAAGACTTAGAAGAGAAGTTGCCCACTTCTCCTTCGGGCCAATCAGAGTCGCCCCCTCTCCAGCAGCGTCAATCCAGATACAGATCTGAGTTCCTCAAAGTGCCACGTGGCACATCAGCATTCTCTTCATCAACGGAGCAGCAATGTCGCCTCACACAGGTACGTGCCATCTCATGCCCACAGTCCCTGACCTCCTTCCGGACGACGATAGCCTGAACAGTGAATGAACACGTGGTACAGCCACGTCACCAACACCCTACGTGGCAGCAGCCACGTCAGCAACGACWYGTGGCGCTGCCACGTCAGCACCTTGTAGACAAGAGCAAGCCAGCCCCCATGCCAGCAAGCAAGCAGCGTGTCGCTGCTGAGAAACGCCAGCTTCCAACTAGCAATTAGCCAGCATCTCACAAGCCAGCGTCGCGTCAAAGTAGAGTCAGCCTTGACTCATGACAGAATGAATGATGTCAAAGCCAGGAGTCAACTTTAAGTAGCGTTGACTCGGTGGGTGTCGGATGAGTGGACACCATGCAATGATGTGTCCCTCCTTTCCACACTTTAAACACTGCGCATTGTCCATCCTATCCTGCCTGGTCTTTTGGTCAATCTCCATCTTTTCCCACGGCTTGAATGCCGCGATGCCTGGGTACGCAGGAAACGAGCGTGGTTTCCTTCTTCGATACGGACCTCGTGGTCCTCCTTTGTTGACCACGGCAGCAGTGAAGTCCCCCTTTCCGGACTCACTGCTGCTGGGAACTCCTTCTTCTTTTAACGGTAACTTCTCCACTGTGTCGTCGTCAAAGACGACAAGCATGTGGTCCTGACGCTTTTGGCGCCAAAGGACTCGCTTACCGTATCTCGCACCTGCACCACCAGATTTCACCACAGATGCATATGACTGTTTAACTTGAGAAGTCATTTGCTCTCTCTGGAGAGCCAAATCACGAAACTGCCGATACTTGTACTTACCTGACTTTGACTCGGCCATTAACTGAGCTCTTATAGGTTCAGGTAAGGACCGGGCATAAATATACATGACCTGATCATCCTGCAGATTTAAGCCCGGTACTTGCAGCAATCGATCGACCTCACGGGACAACGCCTCCACAGACGTCCAATGTTTCTGACCTATGGTAGTGAGCTGATCGAAGGCCTTATCGGCCGTTGTCTTGTCAAGGAAACGTTCCCGGATCTTGACGAGGAACTGTTTTAGGATCATCGTACCGGCCCACTTACCAATATCATCGAATCCGGCTGCATTAGCTTCGGCCAGGACCCACTCTTTGGCCTCCCCTCCAAGACACGACGTGGAGAAGGCGACCTGTGATTCTTCTTCCACGGGGGTCGTCCCGACGTAGGTCTGTATTTCTGCAATCCACAGTAATAAGTTTTCATCCTTCTCAATCTTTACCTTTTCCTTCTTCTTTGACTTCTCAGTTTTCTCTTCTTTATCTTTCTTTCCTCCTGATGGGTGAGGACTGGATGGTGGTGGCGTCGGTGGAGGAGGCCCAGATGGTTCCCCCTTCTTTACTTCGACCCTGAGATCTTTTATAGCATCACCCATTAGTTTCTTCACAGGTTGTTCCTTCCGAACCTCTTTTTCCTTTCCTTTGACCAAGTTAGTCACATTCTTCAATCCTACGGTCAATTCTTCCAACTTTGCCTCAAAATGGTCGAGCCTTGTCTCCAAGTGAGCAAGGTACTCAACCAGTTGATTCAGTGTCACAACCTGTTCTTCCCCTAACACAGTTACCACATGCTGTCTGACTTCTTGTTCTCGTTTTGCTTGCTGTTCATCTTGTTCTTTCTTCTTTAGCATTTTTGCCTTGCGTGTTTTCTCTTTTTCAAGAGCTTCTTCCAATTGGCGGATGTTCTCATCAATTCTCTGTTCCGTGACCACCACATCAGTTTTGGCATTTCTGCCATTTGCTATGTCTTCGAACTGCTGACAGATGTGCGCATCCAGTGCTTTACGGCACTGGATAATGAACTCCTGTATCTTCAATAGGTCGGTATCAGTCTAAGCTGCATCCAGGTCTGCCTGGGCTTTCCGCAGATCAAACTGGGCCCTCACATGTGACTCAACCTCTGCACCGGCGTCGTGCAGTTCAGTGGCCAGAAGGTTGAGCCGTCCAGACAACAGTTGTCATCTCTGCTCAACCTGAGCCCTGGTACGAGGGTCAGGGAGCTGCTCAACACTCTGGCCCTTAACTGGGGTCTGAACAGTCTCTTCCTGAGACATTTCGGTGTGGAGAATCTACCGCACAATAAACAGAATATAAACAATAATTAATTCCGCGGCCTCACAGATTCCACACAGCAGATTACAGCAAGAGTAATGACAGCAAAATAACTGTGGATTATATTTTCAATTATTTTTCTTTTTTTTTTTCTTCGCTGTTCTTATTTATCTAACTCAACGTGATGACGTGCTTTTGCAGGTACCAATCCGGACACAGTGACCAGATACACACAGGTGAGTATGCCAGCACAGGACAAACAAACGACACAGGGAAAACAAGCCAACATCAACAGCAATCAATATGTCAGCATCAATAATCCCCTGCGTCAGTCCTGATCAAAGCAACAATCACCCTGTTGCGACAGCTGGCACTACAGCTATTCAATTAGCTGTACCGCCTCTGTCGTCAGAATGATCCTCCCACCCAGGCACATACGTGCCAATCACGTAACACCCCGGTAATGCCAACTCAGCAAGCACACAACACTTGCCACGTCAGCATCAAGTGATCAATCAATCAAGAGGGGGGTGCCACGTCAGCCAATCTGGCCCCCAGATACGACTTCAATCAAGCCGCTTCAGCAGGGAAACAACAAGAAGTCAGTATCCCCCCTGCCACGTCAGCAATCAAGGTCCCTGCTCAAGGTCTCGCCAATGTGATACAACTCTGCTACGTCAGCAAGATCGTCTTTGTCTTCAAAGCATCATCATCATCATCTTCTTCTCACCGGCACGCGCAGTCTTCAAGGGAGGAGAGTGCTTCTTCTCTAGACGAACGTGTTGAAATCGCGTTTCAGCATTCTCTCTCCCCCACTATTTTTCCCGCCACATCATCAGCGCGCATCCGGGTCTTGATCGAGCACGCGCGACAATCAACTCAAGCGCGGCCCGATGGAACTTCGTCGTCATATGCTCTTCGTCGTCGTGATGATCTTCGTCAAGGTCGTGATCACATTCGTGATCTTGATCGTCGTCGTGATGATCTTCGTCAAGGTCGTGATCACATTCGTGATCTTGATCGTCGTC